ACATTGGGATGGGAATGGGCACATTGGGATGGGAGTGGGAAACATTGGGATGGGAGTGGGAAACATTGGGATGGGAAGGGGGCACCTGATGAGTGTCCCGGCACGGGGAATGGGATGGGAATGAGACACCTTGGATAGGGAATGGGGCACCTGGTGAGTGCCTGGGACTGGGACTGTGCCTTTGGGGTGGGAATGGGGCACCTGGTGTCCCCCGATCCCAGGGAATGTCTTCCCGGTGTCCCACAGGCCTGGGACCTGGGCAAGGGGCTGCGGCTGCCGCAGGTCACCCAGTCGGGGGTGGCGGTGCTGGCGCTGTCCCTGCTCTCCTCCGCCGCCCTCGCCGCCCTCTGAGCGCCCGCCGGGAATGCCGGGAATCCTGGGAATGCCGCGCCGGCCCCGCCCCACCCTCCCGGAGCGCCGGGGAAGGCGGCGCTTCCTTCCCCCGTAAAATCCCTGGAACGGCCGGAGCTGCTTTTCCTGCCCTCTCCCAGCGCGCCAGGGGCTGTCCCCGCCTGTCCCCACCTTGGGGACAATGGTGGCTCTGTGTCCCCGGGGCCACGGGATTGGGAACGTGAGTGGGAGCAGCACAAGGAGCCCCATTGAGGGGAGCCGGGAGGGGGTGGGGGACAGGTGACACCGCCCCGATCCTCCGTCCCTGCCCCTCATCCCCGAAAATCCCGCAGTTCAGCCACTTTGGGAGCGAAAATTCCCAGTTTGTCCATTGGGAAGCGTTTTTTTTTCCTGCCCCTCATCCTTGAAAATCCCACAGTTCAGCCACTTTTGGAGCCCCTGCGAGTGAAAATTCCCATTTTTTTCCCTGTTGGGAAGCGGTTTTTCCTGTCCCCCCTGGAATAAAGCAGCTCTGACCCTCCACCCCCTGTGTCCTGTGTCCCACACCTCTCCCTTGGGATTCGGGGAATTGCTGCTTCCCAGAGGGGCCTGGTGTTGGAAAAACATGGAAAATCCAACAGTTTGCAGGTCTGGGAGGAGCCAAGGCCAGTTTTGGGGGCAAATTGGGGTGATTTGGAACCTTTGGGGAAAGGACAGTTCCGACTTTCCTGTTGGGACGTGGTGGCAGGAGCTTCATCCCATCCCACCCTATCCCATCCCATCCCATCCCATCCCAT